ATATGTGTGTGTGTGTGTGTGTGTGAGTGTGTGTGTGCTAGTGAGTGTGTGTGTGTATGTTTGTGCGTTTGTGTGGGCTGTTGTATATCAATCCACGTGCGCTTCTCATGGCTTACACAACACAACTTTTACCCGGCATTTCTCCATTTGCTTGTAGGGTGTAATAAAATGTTAGTAGAAACTCACCTCAGCCCACTCTTATCGACAATGCCCTGTACAATCAATGGATTCTTCAGAATATGTTGACCGAAGTCTTTGTTGAATGTGATGCCCTGTTGCGCAACCGCACCGTGCGTGCGCGTCTTCTTATCTCCTCGTACTTTCGGCATATTATCTATATATCTATAACACTAATGATCTGTCTTGAATGTGGGGTGCATGAATACTATGATATACCATACGCTTATACTATAGCATTTATCACACATATATATACAGTTATGGACGGCGTTCACGTGTATTGATAAGCCGACTGAGAGTACGTTTGTGAAAACCGTATTCCATTTCTCTGGCCTTTTCGCCCCTCTTTCTGATCAGCCAGTCCAATAAACGTAATTAAAATCTCATACCAATACGTTTTTACCACCGCCATGTGTTTGACCGGTATTTGTAATATCATATATTTAAATATTACTGTATTGATTATAACTAATTATGAGACCGTATAGACTGTTAAAGCGTTGTTAAAGTGTTTATATAGATACTTAAACTGCCTGTATCTGGATACCCAAGTGTTGTATCTGCGGCAGCTCTTATACACCTGTACTATATATCTCTGTATAACCAAGCGCTATACCTACGGCAGTTGTCCTACGTCTGTACATCCAGGGTTCGTTCTGTGTATTTGTATATATTATTTCGTAGGCTTCTCTAATCACCACTATGGCGAAGAAGCAATCAGGTAAAGCTGTCAAGCGCATCAAAGCTTCTAACGGTGACAGTGTGAAAGTACAGAGGAAACAAAATGCAAAGAAGGTTACCAAATCTAAAGACAGCAGCAATGTCAACAAGCATAGTAACACCAATAATAAGAAGGGCAAAGGTGGCAATCAAACAGCTATGGTGAATGTGGACAAGAATGCCAAACAAGGCAATAAACGTGCAAAGGCGTCTAAAGGAAAAGGCGCTAAGTACACAGAAACGGATATTAAGGACTTGAAATCAAATATAGATGAACTGATGGATATGATGGGGTCAGACTCAGGCGATGAGGACGACGAGGGCGATGAGATGCCCCAGGAGGTGGGTGGTGTAGTATGATAGACGTATTATGCATTACATATATATAAACATATATTTATAAATGTATATATATACATACATATATATATATATATATTTATATCTATATATATATCTATATCTATATTTATATCTATATCTATATCTATATAATATGTATATATACATACATATATATAC